TTATTTTAGATAGTAATGATGAGTAATTCTTTTAAAGTTCTTTGGAGACAATACCTAACCTATACTTCTTCTCAAGTTCATGTTTTTTATTAACAGATTTAAGTATCCCCTTTGTAAGCCAAGGATTGTTTAGCCTTTTAGTTGTGACTTGTTTCGTTAGCATAGGACAGTGGGTGTTATAAAGGCTGAGAGTTTTTCGATGAAATGATTGCATTGCTAGGTTGATGTCCCCTATGGTACCTAATTCGGACTCCCAGTTGACATTAGCGGCAGCAGCTATAAAATTTCCTATAGAAGTTTCATTGTGCAGCCTAAAGCTTATCTTCCTTGTATCTAGAGGTGGTTTGTGAATGGTGGTTAGGAGAAATGTGGGGTAATGGTCTGTAGTGCTATCAGTGATTATCTCTGAAGTACCGCGAGCGCTATGTCATGGGTTCGTATCCTGGCCGGGGAGGATTTACTGGGCGCAATTCCTTAACTGTAGCCTCTGTTTAACGCAACAGTAAAATGTGTACTTGATGAAAAAACGATTCTTCGCGGCAGGGGATCGTATTCCAGGGACCTGCCCAAAACGCTACACGTACTAGTGGCTGTACAAGAATGCAACAACTCTTGTATATATCTCAAAAAAAAAAAAAAAGCAGAGAGGTTATGCTGGTCCAGATGTGATCAAGGGTATGAGGAAGCAGGAAATCATACAGTTGAGGAAACTAGCAGCAGGAGGGTTATCAGGCTTGCAAAGGTCAATGTTAAAGTCCCTAGAAATAATTAAGTGGTTTTTGTTCAGACTGTTCTCTAGTATTAGATTTCTAAGGTTAGAGTTAAATTCTGTCACATCAGTGTTAGGAATTCTGTAGACTGCTCCCACAGTCAGGACAGCCTCGCTACCCTTGACTCTGAAACAGGCAAATATATACTCTCCACAAGGGTCTCTAGTTTTATCTACTTTTAAGCATGTCAGTTCTTGGTGGTAGTAAAGAGAAGTACCACCACCTCTTTGTACAGGACGACAGTTGTGAATAGCTGAGTAGTTACGTATGTTGAAGAGTTGAGTAGTATCCTCTTTTTAACCACGTTTCAATAAACACAATAAGAGAATTTGTTGTCAACTGTTTGAATCAGGGCATTAACATCATCAAAGTGCTTGCTTAGATATCTTACATTCAAGTTAATTACAGAAACATTGTGATTACAAGTTAAAACATTGTTCACATCGAGAGCTGTATAATACCTGCAATTTTGATCATTAAAGTGATGATTGTCATAGATACTAGATAAGATGTTTAGGTCTGGGTTGATACTAGTTTGCATAAGAGGACTGTTTGACAGAAAAAAAGCAAAAAAGACAATTATAAAAAGATCTAGATATAAAAAAAAGAATATATATAATTATACACAAAATGAGGTAGGTTGCTTAAGACTAAGTCTAGTGCCCTTGCGGAGATACCAACTCTAATCTACAAAAAAGCCTCCAGATATTTAGCCCCTGCATTGCATTGCTCTACAACAAGGCACTTGAACTCCAAACTTTTCCAGATATTCTAAAAAAGCGAGAGTAACCCCAGTCCATAAATGCGGTGATCTCACTGATGTCAACATCTTCAGTTAATCATATTAATAAGTGCATCGTTAGTGCTTTTTTGGGGTCTGAAGCCATAATGACAAGAGCTTAGAATATTGTGTTTGGCTAGATAAGAGTAAAGCTGCTTGTAGATTAGTTTTTCAAATATTTTTGATAAGTTTGGCAGAATTGATATAGGACTGAAGTTGTTGACATCAGTGAGATAACCACATTTATGGACTGGGGTTACTCTCGCTTTTTTTAGAATATCTGGAAAAGTTTGGAGTTCAAGTGACTTGTTGTAGAGCAATGCAATGGCAGGGTCTAAAGATCTGGAGGCTTTTTTGTAGATTAGAGTTGGTATCTCTAGTAGGTAGTTGGTAGAGTTGGAGTTGGTATATTTAAGGGAGCTGGTCCGCCGAGCATACAGCACACTGGACTTGTGATCCTGTGGTCCCGGGTTTGATCCCGGTCGCCGGCGAGAAACAATGAGCAGAGTTTCTTTCACCCTATGCCCCTGTTACCCAGCAGTAAAATAGGTACCTGGGTGTTAGTCAGCTGTCACGGGCTGCTTCCTGGGGGTGGAGGCCTGGTCGAGGACCGGGCCTCGGCCAGGGTGTTAGGTACAGAGACTGTGGGTCTCTGACCTGTAAGATAGTTCTGAACATTAGTACTGGAAGATGGAATATCATTAGCATGGGATGACCCAATGGATGAGAAGAACCTATTGAATTCAATAGCAGTATCAGTGGCTGAAAGCAGACCATCGTTATTGGACAGGATTATTGGTTTGTTATTTAAAATCTTTTTTGATCCCAATATTTGTGAAATTGTGCTCCATGTTTTCTTGATGTTGCCCTTTGTTTGAGTAAATTTATTTTCGAAGTATTTAATTTTGGCTCTTCTAATTATTTTAGACAGTAATGATGAGTAATTCTTTGAAAGTTCTTTGGAGACGATACCTAACCTATACTTCTTCTCAAGTTCATGTTTTTTATTAATAGATTTAAGTATCCCCTATGTAAACTAAGGATTGTTTAGCCTTTTAGTTGTGACTTGTTTTGTAAGCATAGGACAGTGGATGTTATAAAGGCTGAGAGGTTTTTGAAGAAATGATTGCACTGCTAGGTTGATGTGCCCTATGGTACCTAATTCGGACTCCCAGTTGATATTAGCGGCAGCAGCTATAAAATTAGCATCATCAAAGTGCTTGCTTAGAGATCTTACTTTTACTACTTATTTTTACGATCTTATTAGAAAAGCTAGAGGTACACTCAGGTACACTGAATGATGAAATTTAAACTAGAGGACAGGCAAAGCCAGTGTTCAAATGGAATAAGGGAGTATGGAGCATATAAAAAATATAGCAAAAAACAAGAAAAAAGAGAATAACAAGATGACAATTTAAAAAATAAAATTAAAACTTTTTGAATGGAAAGGCAGAGCTATAGTACACATTGGTTGTTAGATGAGACTATAATTTGTATTCTGGTTATTCAGCTGTTATCCCACAGTCATTCAGGAAAAATTCAGGTGAGCTTCAGTGGTTATTACATAGGTTTTTCCAGCGTCAGACTTCCTAGCTATAATTTTACCATCTCGCACAAAACAATGTTTAATTGCAGGAAAATTTTTGCGGAATCCACGCAGTTTATATAAGAGATTTTGTCTGAACCTGGTCAGACATTCATTCACATAAACAGTAGATTTACTAGAGACTGCAGAACTGATAAGGTCTGATTTGCGGGAGCAGCAATCCAATTTCACGCGAATTTTCCCGTTATTTGAACCAGATGATTTGATACCCACTCTGTAAGCTGATTTGATGTCACTTTTTTGGATTGAATAACTTATCTTATCCTACAGTTCCTTGATCACGATAGCAGCACAGTCTTCACCGTCAGTTTCATGGGGAAAATCACGTGAAGAGATAACGACAGATTCAAGTAGTTTATGTTGGTCTGTTTTGTCTTGGGTAACAGTGTGTTGCTGTAGTAGGTTGTTCAGATGATTCTCAAACTTTTGTAACATTTCTTCCTGTTTTCTAGTGGTTTCATCTGGTTTGAAGTTAGTAACTGTGTTCTTGAGAAGGCTTAATTCTTGTTCGAGGAGGTCGACTTTGGTAGAGAGATCTTGATTATTCTTGAGTAAGGCTCCAGCTTCATCCTGCAAAGATACTAATGAACCTTGCAGGTTCATTATTAATGCTGACTGCTCTTTGATTACTGACATTTGGTCTTCATGTACTTTGGTTAATAACTTGAGCCAAGGGTTACAGCAAGGCGCTTGAAGTCAGAACAAGGGGCAGCAGCTCATTTAAGTTGGTCCATATGGCTACATAATAGTTGCATGGCCCGAGTCGGAGACGGCGCTCCGCCCAGCTGAGATCATTTGTTATTGTTGACGAGGGGAGAGTCGGTACCCCCCCACGGAAGCCACCGAGGGGCAGATAACTGAACTAATCGGCTATCTAGCTATCGGATATCAGATAGCTATTGTATTTGTGCTTGGGGTTTTACTACCTAAAATCATTTACATCCTCTAATTACCCAACACAAAGCTGCTATTAGAACAATATCTAACTCTGGCCCCAGACAGCACTTGGTACCCTTACTCAAATCTCTGAATATGTTAGATATTAAGTCACTGCACATCCTCTCTTGTGTACTCTATATATTTAAAACTCTGAATTGTAATGTCAATCCTGACCTTCAACACTTCCTAGAAGGTTGTAACAGAACTCATGTGCACCACACCAGAAACAAATACCTATTTGATATTCCAGGAGTTAGACTTAATCAAACTAGGAATGCTCTACAAATCAAGGGATCCAGAATGTGGAATGACCTTCCCAATTATGTCAAAGATTATAACAACCAGGTTATAATCAACCAGGTTATAATCAAGATTATAACAACCTCTCTCAACCAGGTTAAGATGAAAACTAAGCACTATCTAATTAACTCCATGTAACCTACCTTACTTCTAAATGTCAACCCATGTCTTACTATTTAAAAAAAAAAAAAATGCTATTTGTTGACCAACTTGTATATATTGGCTATTTTCTACCATGTTCCCCTTTTTTTTATATTTTAATTTTTTTTTCATTCAACACAATTTATACTTTAGGCTCAATTACTATTAAGTTTTAGTCTAAGTGTTTTTTCCCCACCTCTCCTTGGCGAAACACTATGCGTACTAGTGGCTTTAGGTATTGTATGTACTACCTCTATCTTTAAATCTAACAGAATGTTTGTACTGTAACGCTGCAACTATGTATGTACTGTTCGTAAATTTATTATTATTATTATTTTTATTATTATTATTATTATTATTATGTATATTTACAACAAATTATATGGGTTTGAATTCAAGGAATTTTTTTTAAAATGACTGCTAAGCTTGAAGGTTTATCAGAAGATAAACTATTATACTTGATAGAAAATTCAATTCTGTTTTTACTTACATTATTATCACCAAGTATATAATTATCAAAGAAAGCATAGCACTATGGAACTCAGGTAGCAAATTTCCTAACCATCACCTTGGATGTCTAAATGGGAGTCATAAAGATATAAGTGTACCAAGATTGAACGTAGAGGATTTAGAGCTTATCAAGATAGAATTGATGTAATAGGACAACTGAAAAGTAAGTTTTCTGCTTACCCTAAAAATCAGGAAATTTTACAAGAAAATTGAGGTGTAAGCATAACAATGCAATTTTTAATAATAATGGGCAAATTTTTATTCGATTAAATGAATCAAACCATTACTGATCTGTATATATCTTCACCTAAGACATTTTCTCCTTCAAATGTTGCAAGATATAGGAAGGCCAAAGAGATAAGTAACATTTTATGGTAAATAAATTGTCATTGGCTGCAAAGAACTATTGGCTGGTAAACCCCATCATAGTTCAGAATAGAAATGGTTGATCCTGTCTGATTAAACTGTCGAATATCCTCAAAAAATTATTCAAGAGACCTGTTATATAAAAAATCATTGAACATTATTATAATAATTCAGTCTAGGTTACATTTCCATGAACACATCTTCATCCAATTACAGTATATGAAACCAAAATATAATTTCATATAGAAATCCTAATATATCTACTTTCAGAACAGCATAAGGCAAGAACCAGTATTAAATCCCAATTTCTGTGGAATGTTCAAATTAATTTCATCATTCCTTATCAGAAATCAAAACTGTGTTATTTAGCTTTTTAAAAGATCTTCAATAAGTATTTGAAATTTGCAGTCAAGGGCAATGTTAATAAGATGCAAATATTTATCTGGTTTTATGACGTAACCTGGTTGCGATCTTTCTTGTAAAAGTTCAGTAATGACTATTTTAGTGTTCTTAAGTAAAAGTTCTGAGGAAAGGTCAAATGATGCCTTTGACATTCTTATAGGTATTTCCTTATGCAAGCTACCATCACAGTCACATTTTGTGCATTTAAAAGTAATATTTTCTCTGCTCTTTCCTAAACCAGAAATATAGCTCATGATGCCAGAGTATTTTGATGATCTAGTTATTTGATGATCATCTTCACATCTAATACAGTGCAGGATACTTGGAACTCGCTCGACATATTGTTTTGGATTAGAATATTTCTTAGCATGCTCATAAAGAGGTCCCATACTGCTAATGACTCCCATTCCTGCTGCAAAAAGTCCCTTTGATCGTCCAAGAAAAAGTAAATCAATACACTCATTCGAGTTAAAGGAATTATCCATGCAAACTTCAATAGCATATGTCTTTAAAATAGACTCTACATCAGAAACACCAGACTCTTGAGTACATTTCAAGTGATTAAACACTGAAGCTAACTCCCAAACTTGCTCACATTTCTCAAATGCTTCTTTAGTCATATCTTGATGGTCTTTGCATAAATTAATGAAGTTCTTCAGTTCTTCTTTTACACCTCTTGCTGCTGATTCAATTACTTTTCCTGCATAAACTTTACTTTGTAAAGCTTTAAAAGTATTAACTGAGAGCTGTGGAAGGTCCAACAAGAGTTTTAAAAACTTTTTCCAGCTCTTGCAACCCATCCTCCAATATAGCCTGTCAAGGTCATCCATTTCTTGTACTATCTTTCTAATTGCTGAATTATTGAACTTAAAGAAGGTCTTTGATTTTATGTCAAAGTTTCTCATTGTTTCAACCACAGGAGGAATCTCTTGATTGTCAGCAGCAGTAACAAATGTAATCAAGTGGTCTGTAACACTCTGCCCAAACAATGATGAAACGTATTCTAAGATAAGCTGTTCTGAAGACGTTAATCGTACCAGATGAGCTTGAACTACAAACCCAATGGCATGGATATCAATTTTATGTGAAGCTGCATTTGTCAGGAATTGTTTAATTGACTGTATATTATCATTCCTTTCTTCCCTAGAAGAGTCATTTAGTCCTGGAGTGTCAATAACAGTAATAGGGGCATGAGTTTCATCGGTGCAGAATGTGTATGCAGTAATGGTTGTTGTTGGTTTAACACGACCCGAGTTTGCATCTACATAAACTTGCATATCATCAGCTGCTTTAGCTCCTTGGAAGTAATTGACAATAAAATTTACCAATGTTGTTTTTCCGCTACCAGAAGCTCCAAGGAGAATTACAACCTTTTCTTTAAACTTTGAGCTAAAATTACCATAAAACTTTCTTTCCATTCCAGAGGAATCTTTCTGTGATTTGACTTGATTTATAATATGTGATTCAATAATCTTGCTGCTAGTATTCTCTTTCCTATGTGACTGTGTTGAAAAGTCTTTTTCATTTTGAGCTAAAACAGATCTTAAATTCTCTCTTGTTTCAAAATATCTGTCCTTTTCTGTTTTAAGAAATTTGACTATATTCTGGCTTCTTCCGTTGGCTTCCTGGAGATCTTTGCTATTGATTTTACCTTTCATGGAGGTAGATATGTCAGAATCATTCATAAAATCCACAAAACAACCAATGCTTCTGATGCTTGCTAATGTTTGATGCCATTGTCCTGGAGACTCTAAATGCTCATCTTGAACATCTCTGTAATGATAGTTAGCTTGATGAATGTTACTATTATATACCTGTGTTTGATATCCTGTTCCTGATGGTACTAAAGACTTCTCTATACTACCAGTTGTTTTATGGAATGCACTTTGTTGATCACTGTTTTTCTCAGTAGAACCTTTTTCGTATAAACCATTTGCTGCTATTGATGAATCATCATACTCTATACCATATTTTCCAGACACTAATAGTCGATGTGATGCTAATTGATTTGATTTCCTATGGATGACTGACTGTGGGATTTCTGAAACAGAAGAGTCTTGAAGCAAATGGCAGTAGTTTGTCATACTTTCTTTGATGTCTTTGATCATAACAGCAGTTGAACTAAGAGTTTTATATATATATGCACAACTGAAAGATTTTAACAATTCATCTGGGATGAAACACTCAGAATTTTCATAAAGTACTTTATGAAGAGATTCACTTATTTTGTTTATGGCACCATCCTCTAATTTGTTTGAAAAAGTTAATAACATATGAACAAAAGATTTATAATTAACTGCAACAACAGTATGCCTTAGGTCATGTGCTACAATATTAGATCCTCTTATTTCCCTGATTTTAGATCCATGTACAAAGAAAGTATTATGACAATTGAGTCTGCTCAAGTCTTCAGCCAATGAAATTTTACAATTTAAAAGTTTTGTTTTTGCTAGCTGTTCTCTACTAAAAACTTGAATCTTATATTTTAGGCATGAACTAGCATCAGTCTTGAAAACCTCGCCATTGGGATAGTACTTTCTGTTTGATCGGCAGAATGTCAATCCAGGAGCCACTTCATTCTCTGCAGTTTTAATTTCATCACAATTTTCCTCTCTAGAAAAAAAAAAAAATCAGTACACATTGCACCTCTACCAAAATTTATGTATGCTAGAGAAAGTAAAATTGCTGCCTAACTTGTCAAAAATATTTGAAAGACTAATCTACAAGCAGCTTTACTCTTATCTAGCCAAACACAATATACTTAGCTCTTGTCAATATGGCTTCAGACCCAAAAAAAGCACTAACGATGCACTAATTAGTATGATTAACTTGATTCATGCAGCTCTTGATAAAAATAAGTTCCCTGTTGGGTTATTTGTGGACCAGCGTAAGGCTTTTGACACTGTCAGCCACCAAAACCTTCTTCTTAACCCTTAAATGGCGCATAGCTATATACCATTTGACACCCACAGGCGCATACCAAAAAAAAAAAAAAAAAATTATTTTTTCTTCCTAACCTGTTAATTTGTGTTCACTGATCACGGGAAAAATAATAAAAAAAATCGTAAGTGGCATATATTGCCCACTATAGGGCGGGGAAGGGTGACAAAAATCAGGCGCTGACTGAGCGTGCGTCCCAGGTGGTCTGTTGATCGCCAGCTGTCAGGCCAGAGTTTCCACAAAGAGATAATTACCTAATTATTTCAATGTCTCTGATTGATTTTTCGTAGTTTTTTTGCTGTAATATTATTCAATAGTGTGTAGTGTGATATATTTATATAATAAAATGAGTGAATCATCGCTGTACTCAAAAATATGGTGTGCGTATTGTTGATTCAATTATGTTCATCAAACAGTGAACAAATACTTTGTCGGTTATTACACTATATACACAGGTTATATATAAGTATCTGCATGTTTTGTTCACCATAACGAACCACTAAGTTGGTATGCTGAGTGGCAGTGGCAGTGGCAGGCAGTGACTGGCTGCCACTCCCTCCCTCACCTCACCTCACCTGCCTTGCCACCATTCTCCACCCACCATACTGTTTTTGCTTTTATATACAGACGTTATATATAAGTATTTACATGTTTTGTTCACCATAACTGTACATCTAAGCTTGTATGGTGAGTAAAGGCAGAGAGACGTAGCTACTCACACAGTCAGCTGGTGGCGGCCGCCCTCAAGGCCAGACGCACTAATATTTCTCCTACAACAATACTGTTTGTGGTGTTATTACGCTATATACACACATTATATATAAATATCTACCTGTTTTATTCACCATACCTGTACAAGTAAACTGGTATGGTGCCCAAAGACCATCGTGGTCATCAGTAAACAACATGATAAGTCCTGCAGACGACGCTCCTCCCTCACCAAAATGGTGGCTCCCAACCTCCTACTCTCGCTGTTATCTCACACTATACACACGTTATATATAAGTATCTACATTTGTGTTCACCATAGCGAACCACTAAGCTGGTATGGTGAGTGCAGTCAATAAAAGGTGGCCACACACACTCCAAGGACAACGCCACCATCCTCCCTCCCACAACATTACTCCTCCCTCCATGGCGCACAGCGCCAAATATCACCACAATCCTGCTATTATCAGAACCCTGGTCAGTTTTATCACAGTCAGGGGTCTTCTGTAATAATATCATCGCTACATAATAGCATGAACAAGTATATTATGGCACTTTTAGGCGATGCTGTGGTCACAAGCTGAACAGCAGTGCTCTTAGCTCTTGCTGCGTGCGTCAGGCTTGGTAGCTCACTCAATACTGAGGCCCCTAACACCCTGGAGTTTGGCCCACGATTTTTTAAAAAAATGGCGTCTGTTTACAAGAGCCCTGATGAAGGTGTGGTGAACCCCGTGTATCCGCGGGCCATTTAAATCTTGCGTAGTACTCCAAAGCATCATATGATGCGATGCACAATTTACTGCAAGTTGGTCAAAGCATCATATGATGCGATGCGCAATTGAAGGGTTAAATTACATCATTATGGAGTCAGAGGACACTCCCTGCAATACCTCAAATCTTACCTTACTGACAGGCTCCAGTATGTTTCTGTGAATAATTCAATTTCTCCCACCCTACCCATCAACATCGGTGTTTCTCAGGGCAGCATACTTGGCCCTCTCCTCTTTCTCATCTACATTAATGACCTTCCAAATGCCTCCCAACACCTCAAACCAATTCTATTTGCTGACGACACAACCTTCATTTACTCCAGTCCTGACCCAATTGCTCTAAATGCCACAGTAAATATTGAGCAAAATAAAGTCCATCTTTGGCTAACTGCCAACAAACTCACCCTTAACATTGACAAAACTTTCTATATTCTGTTTGGCAATAAATCCCCTAATCAAATAAATCTCAGAATAAACAATACCCAAATTTGCAACAAACTAAATGGCAAATTCTTTGGCGTTCTCATTGACCACAAGCTGAATTTCCAGGGACACATTCTAAATATATCAAAAAAAGTTTCAAAAACTGTTGGCATTCTTTCTAAGATCAGATATTATGTACCCCGCCCTGCCCTGGTGACTCTCTATTACTCCCTCATCTATCCATATCTCAACTATGGCATTTGTGCTTGGGGTTCTACTACCCAAAATCATTTACGTCCTCTAATTACTCAACACAACGCTGCTATTAGGACAATATCCAACTCTGGCCCCAGACATCACTCGGTACCCCTACTCAAATCTCTGAATATGCTAGATATTAAGTCACTGCACATTCTCTCATGTGTATTATACATATATAAAATGCTGAACTGTAATGCCAATCCTGACCTTAAAAGCTTCATTGAAGGTTGTAACAGAACCCATAAGCACCACACCAGAAACAAATACAGTTTTGATATTCCAAATAATAGTTTGATTTAATCAAACTAGAAATGCTCTACAAATCAAGGGACCCAGAATGTGGAATGACCTTCCCAACCATGTTAAAGACTGTACCTCTCTCAACCAGTTTAAGATAAAAACAAAGCACTACCTAATAAATTCCCTGTAACTTACCTTACCCCTCTATTGTCAGCCCATGTCTGTTTTTTTTTAAACAACGCTGTTTGTCGACCTAATTGTATTTGTGCTGCTTTTTCAGCCATGTTCCCCACTTTCTTATTTTTATTTTTATTTGTTCTTAACACATTTTATACTTTAATAGTGACTTTAGGCATTGTATGTACTAGCTCTATCTATAAGTCCATCAACTTTGTATCTTACCTTGTATGTATGTATCTTACCTGAATAAAAATTTATTTATTTATTTATTTATTTATATTTATTTAAAATACTGTACATGTATTATGATTTCAGTCAAATTTTTGCATTTTATGGCAAAATATTTAATTTTTTTGTTTATTTGCAATATTACACCATATACAATATTTTTGAACATTTTAAATGACAAGTACAACAGTGCCAGGAGAAAGGAGTCACACTGCAACCAGTTCCAGGAATATCCAATTGCCTAATTATTGTGAACAGGTTGAGGGCTGTAAGTGGTGTCCTAGGTTACATAAAGGTATAGGGAAGTTGAAAAGTAAATAAGATGCAAGAAATAAGTGAAAGTGAGTGAAAATTCTGTGTTGGAAAAGTTTATACTTCAAAACAAAAGATTGTCCATAACAAAGATGGCCACTATCATGGAAAAGGTAAGCATACCAGCAGATGAATGTTTTGAATTTCTCAGCAAAAGATATAAAGAAAGGAGATTTTCTTGGCAGATTAGAGATTATCGAGGACAGGCTAAAGGATTATGAAGAAAAGGTTATAACGTACGATTTATGTGAACGATAGTGGTAGATTAGATAAACAGAGTTCAGTGGTTTTTCATATTTATTTAGTAGTCTTCGTTATAGCAGTCAGTTGTTGGCAGTATCGTAGAAGTTAAGACGAAGCCTGGAGCAGAGCAGAGAGCTAAGTGAAGCCAAGGATAGAGAACTCGGATGCAGGGTGATAGTTGTAGAGCATAGCACTCTAAATGCAGGCGGAGTCAAGGAGCTCAGTGTGGGACAAGAGCGTGAAAGCTAGATGTGGACGGAGTCTGGCTGTCTGCTCTGTGTCAAAGCTGAAATCTCTTAGAGCCGGTAGGAACTGGACATGAGAGTGCTACATTGTTGTCAGTGAGGTTTAACCCTCAAACCGCTAGGGGCCCAAATGGAATTCACACCCACAGGCGGAACAAAAAAAAAAATTCCAAAAAATTCTTTCGTCTTATAGAAGTGTTCATTTTTGTTCCCTGATCACGGAAAAAATAACAAAAAAATCGTAGGTGGCATATTTTAGCCGCAATATGGTAGGGAAGTGTGGCAAAAAAGGGGCGTTGGCAGAGCCTTCGCCAGACGAGGTCTACTCCGCCCGAACTGTCAGACGGTAGTTGCCACAAATATATTATTACCTAATTATTTCAATGTCTCTGATTGATTTTTTCTTAGTTTTTTTTGCAGTAATATTATTCCATACAGTGAATTGTGGTATATTTATATTATAAAATGTGTGAACCATCGCTGTACTCAAAATTATGGTGTGCATATTAGTGATTCAATTATTATGTTCATAAAACAATAAACAAATAGTTTTGCTGTTGTTACATTATATACACAGGTTATATATAAGTATTTGCATGTTTTGTACACCATAACGAACTACTAAGTTGGTCTTGTGAGTCAAAAAGCAACGAGGAGTGAAACACCAAACACCAGCGAGCCACTCACTGCCACTCCCTCCCTCAACACCACCTCACTCACCCTCATTCACTTCCCACAATACTCTTTTGTATTTATTCACTACACACAGACGTTATATATACGTATTTACATGTTTTGTTCACCATAACTGTACACCTAAGCTTGTATGGTGAGTGAAGGCCATAAGACGTAGCTACTCACACAGTCAGTTGATCGGCGGCCGCCCTCAAGGCCAGACGCACTAATATTTGTCCTCCAACAATATTGTGGTGTTATTATGCTATACACACATTATATATAAGTATCTACCTGTTTTATTCACTATACCTGAACAAATAAGCTGGTATGGTGCCCAAAGACCATAATGGCCATCAGTAAACACCATCCATGCCAAGTCATGCAG